CCACAACACTAAGACAAACTACAACCCACACTAAAAAACAACAAGAAAAGCTCCCAACAGGAGAATCCCGAGTGCGATCCCAACAGGATAATTAATTTGCACTCGGGTCAATTGATTTGCTTATGTTGAATTGAGAAAAGTTATGTTTTTTTAATTATATATAGGGAGGATATAAGATTTATTATATTTTTATGTAGTATTTATTGAGTAATTGTGTTTACAATTTTTCTATTAACTTTTTAGTTCCTATAATTTTTTTTTTTTCAGAAAATACTCATTATTTTATCCCAAGATTATCTATTAATTTACCAATTGAGTTACATTTCTTACATATTAAATATTATAGAATTAAAATATTTCTTGTTTTATCTGTTCAATATGATACTTATATATTATATTAAAAAAACTATTATAGTAAATAAAAAAGTTATTTAAAATTAGAATAATAAAGATTCTTTTTCTAATCTACATGTAAATGTACAAATAACTATTGTCTATCACCTCAAATTTACACATAAAATTAATATGAACAAAAAACTAACAAGCGTTTAACAACTCAGTTCGATTACATCGATAAGTATAATTTTAGAAGGTTTATATTTAGTTATATTAATTATATTATATTTATTTATTAGTTTCTTTTATATTTATTAGTACGTGTCACAACTTAGTTATTATTCATATTATTTCTTATATTTAATATTTTTTTAAAACTTTATAATCTTGTTCTTTTACATGTTTTTAACTGTAGATTTGTCAAAAAAAGACATAATATAAATTATAGAATTTTTTTGATCATCTGCCTCATTATATATCAAATATTTGTATATCCTATATTATATTATATTTAATTACAATTTTTTAATTAATATTTTAATTAAATATTTACAATTCATAATAATATTGTCGAGTCAACTTTTGTTCATAAATTTTTTAAAAATATATTATTTTCATTGATTTGCTTATGTTGAATTGAGAAAATATTATGTTTTTTTTTTTTTTTAATTATATATAGGGATGATATAATATCAGATATGATGACATTTATATATTACCAATTTGCCATTAAAAACATGTGAAAGTAAGGGTTTTTTAGGTAGTTCATTTTTTATTAAAAATACAATTAAAATATATGATGTGTATTAGTGTATTACTAATTTGCCATTAAATTTATATCAAAGTAAGGGTTTTTTAGGCATTATGAATTTTTACAAAAACACTCATTTTACCAATTTGTCATTAAAAACATGTGCAAGTAAGAGTTTTTTAGGTAGTTCATTTTTTATTAAAAATATAATTAAAATATGATGTGTATTAGTGTATTACTAATTTGCCATTAAATTTATGTCAAAGTAAGGGTTTTTTAGGCATTATGAATTTTTACAAAAACACTCCTCATTTTAAAGTAGTAATATAATATAATA